TAAATAAATAAATAAGGCCAGGCACTGTGGCTCATGCCTGTAACCCCAGCATTTTGGGAAGCCAAAGTGGGAGGATTGCTTAAGCCCTGCCCAGAAGTTAGAGACTAGCTTGGGGAACATAGCAAGACTCCATTCCTAAAAAAAAATTCTTTTTAATTAGCTAGGCATGTTGGTGCTTATAGTCTCAGCTACTCAGGAGGCTGAGCTAGGGGAATCACTTGAGCCCAGGAGTTTGAGGCTACAGTGAGATATAATGATGCCACTGCTCTGCAACCCAGGTGACAGGCAAGACCAGCCTCAAAAAAATAAAGAACAGGCTTGGCACCTGTGGCTTAAGCAGCTAAGGTGCCAGCCACATACACCTGAGCTAGCGGGTTTGAATCCAGCCCGGGCCGCCAAACAACAATGACAGCTGCAACCAAAAATTAGCCAGGCATTGTGGCAGGCACCTGTAGTCCCAGTTACTAGGGAGGTAAGAAAATCGCTTAAGCCCAGGAGTTGGAGGTGGCTGTGAGCTGTGATGTCACAGCGCTCTACCCAGGGTGACAGCTGGAGGCTCTGTCTCAAAAAATAAAGAAAGAAAGAATAGGTTTGGCACCCATAGCTCAGTGAGTAGGGCGCCAGCCACATTTAGGCTAGTGGGTTCGAGCCTGGCCCCAGCCCGCTAAACAACAATGACAACTACAATAAAAAAATAGCCAGGCGTTGTGGTGGATGTCTATAGTCCCAGCTATTCAGGAGGCTGAGGCAAAAGAAATGCTTCAACCCAAGAGTTTGAGGTTGCTATGAGCTATGAAGCTACGGCACTCAACTGAAGGTGACAAGTGAGACTCTGTCTTAAAAAAAAACAACCTAAGTATATTCAAAGTATATCCAGCAACCACTTCACTGCAGCTACAGAAAAGCCCCCAGCACCTCTGTGCCCACCTCTACACCAACTCCCTCAGACACAGAGTTCCAGTCACATGACTTTCTGCTCCTCCCTGAGGACATGGACACCACTCAACCACAGGCCTTGCATACCTGCTCTCCTAAACCAGAAACTTTCTCCCTAACTCCTGACTTGGATCCTGACCTTCAAGTTTTTGCTTAAATGTCACATGATGCCTTTTCCTTCCACCCTTAGGTCATACCCACTCCACCCCAGTACATGCTGTTCCTGTCCCCCACTTTTCTTCATGGTACTATGACTTCCTGACACATCGTGTCCATCACTGCTTTAATTTCCCAGAATAGCACTATCAAATGGAATCTTCTGCTATGAAGGAAATGTTTTCTCTGCACTGCCCAATATGGTCGTCACCAGTGTCATGGGCTACTGAGTGTGAACAACACAGACAGTAAAACTGAGGAAATAAATAATTAATTTTTTGTTTGTTTGTTTTTTGTTTTTGAGACAGAGCCTCAAGCTATCCCCCGGGCAGAGTGCCATGGCATTACGCTCACAGCAACCTCCAACTCCTGGGCTCAAGCGAGTCTCCTGCCTCAGCCTCCCAAGTAGCTGGGACTACAGGCGCCCGCCACAACGCCTGGCCATTTTTTGGTTGCAGCCATCATTGTTATTTGGTGGGCCCGGGCTGGGGATTCGAACCCGCCACCTTAGGTGTATGTGGCTGGTGCCTTAGCCGCTTGAGCCACAGGCGCCAAGCCATTAATTTAAATTTAAATTTGCATAGCCACGTGTGATCACTATCTTGGTCCACTCAAGTATGTGGTGAGAGGTCAGGGCAGGAGGAGAAGCTGGTTTCTCTCCTTGCTCTAATCTCCAGCACACAGCAGGGTTTGGTAGCTGAGTTTCCCTCAGAGCATTTGCAGAATGGAACCCAGACATGGGAGCAGAGCTCTGGGCTTCTCCCTACCCTGAGGATCCAGTCCACTCATCCAGCAGCAGTGGGTCTACTCTCAACCTACCTGTGCAGGTGTACCAGGTCTGGATGAGCCCCCAAATGAGAGTGTTACACTTGTCACAGGTCTGCTTGACACTCTTGCTCTTCTCCTTATAGAAGCGGTGATCCAGGAGGACACGGAGGTGGGGCTCATCCTCATTGGGGTCCTGCAGAGGAGAGCCGGGGAGAGTCACAAGCATGCTTCACTGCAGTTCCTGTCCCCTCAAACACAAGCCCCTCAACTTATTTCTTCCAGGTACCATTTGTAGCAGAGTCCATGAGTTTCAGCACAGTGCCAAGACCCCCCTTTCCCTTCTGCAATAAAATAATGGTCAGTCAGGCACGAACCACCAGGGTTACTCACTGCCTTCCCAGCACCTCCACCGCCCAGGTGCTGTCCACCCCTCCCTCCTGCCTGCTGGAAACCCAGAAGATACAGTGTGGGGCCACCTTAGGCTCCCAAGCCAGAGCAACAAGAAAGGATGGCCTAGGGCCCCAACACCATTAGCTGCCCCACCAGCCCTGGACCATCAATGGGATTTTTTACATAAGGAAAATTACACATCTATTTTCTTCTCTTTTTTTTTTTTAGAGACAGTCTTACTTTGTCGCCCTCGGTAGAGTGCCATGGCATCACAGCTCACAGCAACCTCCAGCTCTTGGGCTTAGGTGATTCTCTTGCCTCAGCCTTCCAAGTAGCTGGGACTACAGGAGCCTGCCACAACACCCAGCTATTTTTTTGTTGTAGTTTGGCTGGGGCCAGGTTCAAACCCACCACCCTCAGCATATGGGGCTGGCGCCCTACTCACTGAGCAACAGGCACTGCCCACACATCTATTTTCTTTAAACCACTGTACTTTGGGATATTTTTGTTACCACAAAGATCCCTATTTTCTAATGAATAGTCCACTTTCTGGCTCAGTGCCTATAGCTCAACCGGCTAACGCGCCAGCCACATACACCTAAGGTGGCAGTTTCGAATCCCCAGCCCGGACCTGCCAAACAACAATGATGGCTGCAACCAAAAAATAGCCAGGCGTTGTAGCGGGTGCCTGTAGTCCTAGCTACTTGGGAGGCGGAGGCAGGAGACTCGCTTGAGCCCAGGAGTTGGAGGTTGCTGTGAGCTGTAATGCCAGGACACTCTACCCAGGGGGACAGCTTGAGGCTCTGTCTCAAAAAAAAAAAAAAAATAGTCCACTTTCTAAATTCCCAAGTACTCATGAATCAGTACAGGGGACACAGTGAGCACCAGAGTGAAGAACACAAAGACTTAAGGAATACATTGTGGACATCTGTAGTGTGGGGATTCACGACCATCTTTTTCATTTTTTTTTTTATGTATACATGTGTTTATTAAGTTTCCACTTTTTGCCTCCACAAAATTAAAAAGGCTTAGAATTTAATAACAATGTTTAAGATAAGGACTAGAAACAAAAACCTTATAAAGAACAAACGAAGATAAGTACATTCAGAAAAGAAATCAGATGATTGCTACATCGAAATATTAAGCAATAATAATAATAATACAAAGAAAGTAATAGTCACATTGTCAAATAAGAGTATGCCTATTGGCTCAGCGCCTGTGGTTCAAGTGGCTAAGGTGCCAGTCACGTACACCTAAGGTGGCGGGTTTGAATCCCCAGCCCGGGCCCGCCAAACAACAATGATGGCTGCAACCAAAAAATGGTCGGGCTTTGTGGCGGGCGCCTGTAGTCCCAGCTACTTGGGAGGCTGAGGCGGGAGACTCGCTTGAGCCCAGGAGTTGGAGGTTGCTGTGAGCGTGATGCCACGGCACTCTACCCAGGGGGATAGCTTGAGGCTCCGTCTCAAAAAAAAAAAAAAAGAGTATGTCTATTACAGAATGCTTTGACTCTGAGGTTTAGTATGGAGTCATCAGTTAACTTCTTATTTTTTTCCAAAGTCTCAAAAAATAGACAACTAATATTTATAAATAAAAGTAAAAGATAATTTAAGAAAACAGATCATGCCAAATTACATAGACAATAGAAAAAGAAGAAATACTTCAAAATCATTCTACTTAATCTGGTTACACCTGATATTAAAATTGAAGGAAATAGGGCGGCGCCTGTAGCTCAAAGGAGTAGGGCGTTGGCCTCATATACCAGAGGTGGTGGGTTCAAACCTGGCCCTGGCCAAAAACTGCAAAAAAATAAAAATAAAAATAAAAAAATAATAAAAATTGGAGGAAATACATTATTATAAAGGGGAAATTATAAACATATTCCACTTATAAATGAGGATGTCACCCTCAGTAGAGTACTGTGGCATCACAGCTCACAGCAACCTCAAACTCTTGAGCTTAAGCGATTCTCTTGCCTCAGCCTCCCAAATAGCTAGGACTACAGGTGCCCACCACAATGCCTGGCTATTTTTTGTTGCAGTTCTCATTGTTGTTTTAGCAGGCCCGGGCTAGTATCAAACCTGCCAGCCTTGCTGTATGTGGCTGGTGCCATAACCACTGTGCTAAGGGCCCTGAGCCTCGTGGGTTTTTTTTTTATTTGTTTGTTTTTGGTTTTTTTTGAGACAGTCTCATTATGTTACCTAGGGTAGAGTACCGTGGCATCACAGCTTCCAGCAACCTTCAACTCTTGGGCTTAAACAATTCTCTTGCCTCAGCCTCCCAGTTAGCTGGGACTATGGGTGCCCACCACAATGCCTGACTATTTTTTTTTTAAGTATAGTTGTTTAGCAGGCCTGGGCCAGGCTTGAGCCCACCAGCCCCAGTATATGTGGCTGGCACTATAACCACTGAGCAACGGACACAGAGCCAGACCTTCTTTTTCTTCTTTTTTCTTTTTAGAGAGACAGGGTCTCACCATGTCATCCAGGCTAGAGGGTAGTGCTACAATCACACCTCACTGCCACTGGGAACTTGAGGCCTGGGGGATCCTCCTGCCTTGACTTTAAGCACATGCCCCAACCCTGCCCACTGCCCTCTGTTGTCACCTGGACAGGACCCCTAGGTGTATTCTCACAGCACTTCAGGTTCAGGGTGGGCCTTACTCGACTCACTTGCTTCAGCAGACGGGCACATGACCCAGAACTAAGCGAATCAGTCACTATCATTGGGTCAGAAAGGGGCCCAGGACTGGTCAGTGAGAGTCAGGCCTGAGATTCATGACCACTAGGAAGAGAACGCTCCACATAGCTGGGGCATCTCTGCCACCACACATGGAGCCCAGGGAATGGGTCAGACTCAGAAAGCAGAGTTGAAAGATAGCAGCATCCCTGATAGTGTAGTGTTTTGCAGTTACCAGCAAATACTTTTTTCTTTTTGGTTTAAGCTCCTTAATGTTGAGTTTCTGTCCCTTGCAACCAAGAGGGTCTAGCCTACTTGAGACACAGTCTACAGTACATGGGATACAGGCCCACCTTTCACCCTGTCTCCTGAGTACCTTCCTGCCTCAGTCCCTCAGTGCCTAGAGAGAGACCCACATCTGGGAAGGAGCCAGAGGTGGCCCCAGGTCCTCCCACCTCCCTCCCACGATCTAGCCTCAGTGCAAGGCTTCCTCTGTGGGGGGGTGGGCCAGCACCCACCTTAAGCTCCTGCAGCTTCAGTCGGAGATGGATGAGCCTCACCACAGCATCTTTCTGCTTTTCCGACTGCTCGGGCAGTTCCAGAATGACTCGCTTGCACTCCTCGATTGCCTGCTGCAGCTGTGGGATGTCAGAGGCCAGGAACAGACCCTGCCCAGGGGGTGTTGGGGCAGTCAGTGTACATGCCCAGGCTCCTCCTATTAAGGCCCATCCTCAGAGGCAGACCTCACTCCAACACCCAGGTGAGGAAACAGAAGCCCAGAGGGGCTGAGGACTTGCTAGGGCCTAGGAAAGTTGGTGGCAAGGTGAGGACTCACCTCCAGCTGCCTGTCCCTAGCAGGACCTGTCTACCCACAGGCCTCTGAAGACCTAATGTTTGAAAGAAACTTTTCCAAAGATAAATTTCTTCTTTGAGAAACCCAAGTGCTAGCTGTAGCATAGTGGTTATGGCGCCAGCCACATACACCGAGGGTGGCAGGTTCAAACCCAGCCTGGGCCAGCTAAACAACAATAAATAGCAGGGCGTTGTGGTAGGTGCCTGTAGTCCCAGCTACTTAGGAAGCTAAAGCAAGAAAATCTTTTAAGCCCAAAAGTTTGAGGTTGCTGTGAGCTGTGACGCCATAGCACTCTACTGAGGGTGACATAGTAAGACTCTATCTCAAAAAAAAAAGAAAGAAATCAAAGTGCTTTTTTGATTATACCATTTCACTTACTTCTGAAGAACTTCCTTTTGGGAGCAAGCTGCGAAATGACCCTATTACCATTAAGGGGAGCCAGTGACCTCCAGCTTATCTGCCAAGCCCATGTACTCAGGGCTGCTTCTAACCACTCTAGGGCTCAGAGCCCAACAAGCCCTAGACTCAGATCACTGGGAAGACAGGCTCAGTCTCAGAGCTGGGGGCTCAGGCTGCTATACACTGAGAGATCTAGGCATGGGGGTAACTCTTCCCTTTCCCTTGGATCTCAATCTGTGGCCCAAACGAAGTGCTCAAATGTGTTATAATAAAGATACAAAAGATATATATGAAATAATGTATTTGTATGGGCAAAGTTTAAAGGCCACATACAAAATGAAAAGTGACTTAGAATTGGTAGGGGGGCTTCTGGCTAAATCTTTTAAAATCTAAGTTACTTTTCTTTTTTTGTCGAGACAGAGTTCTACCCTATGCCCCGAGCAGAATTCAATGTCGTCATAGCTCACTGCAACCTCAGTCTTGGGCTGTGGGCATCCTGCTGCTGAAGCTACCGAAGCCACTGGGATTCGTGCCTGGCTGGGTTTTTCAATTTTTTTTTTTTTTATAGAGACAGAGTCTCATTTTATTGCCCTTGGTAGAGTGCCATGGTGTCACACAGCTCACAGCAACCTTCAACCCCTGGGCTTAAGCAATTCTCTTGCCTCAGCCTCCCAAGTAGCTGGGACTACAGGTGCCTGCCACAACACCCAGCTATTTTTTGGTTGTAGTTTGGCCAGGGCCGAGTTTGAACCTGCTACCCCCAATATATGGGGCCAGCTGGCCCCCGGTTTTTCAACTTTTTTCATGAGTTGGGGTCTCACTCTCTCTCAGATAAGCCTCAAACTCCTGAGCTCAAGCAATCCTCCTACCTCAGCCTCCCACAGTGCTGAGATTACAGGCATGAGCCACCATGCCCAGCATAAGTTACATTTTTTTTTTTTTGGGACAGAGCCTCAAGCTGTCACCCTGGGTAGAGTACTGTGGCATCACAGCTCACAGCAACCTCCAACTCCTGGGCTCAAGCGATTCTCCAGCCTCCGCCTCCCAGGTAGCTGGGACTACAGGCGCCTGTCACAACGCCTGGCTATTTTTTGGTTGCAGCCATCATTGTTATTTGGCGGACCTGGGCTGGATTTGAACCCACCAGCTCAGATGTATGTGGCTGGTGCCTTAGCCGCTTGAGCCACAGGTGCCGAGCCCCTAAGTTACATTTTAATGTTACTATAATGCTTCTCTCAAAAGTTAGAAATGGATGGGTGGTGCCTGTGGCTCAGTGGGTAGGGCACGGGCCCATATACCAAGGGTGGCGGGTTCAAACCCGGCCCCGGCCAAACTGCAACAAAAAATAGCCAGGCATTGTGGCAGATGCCTGTAGTCCCAGCTACTCAGGAGACTGAGGCAAGAGAATCGCCTAAGCCCAGGAGTTGGAGGTTGCTGTGAGCTGTGATGCCACAGCAGTCTACTGAGGGCGAAAAAGTGAGACTCTGTCTCAAAAAAAAAAAAAAAAGTTAGAAATGTTTTGCATAAAACTAAAAGGTTTTCAAACTATGTTTTTTAGAGACAGAGTCTTGCTCTCACCCTGGCTTGGAGTATACTGGCATGATTATAGCTCACTGAAGCCTTGAGTTCCTGGGCTCAAAAATCTTCCCGCCTCTGCTTCCTGAGTATCTGGACTACAGGTATGTACTACCAGGTTTGGCTAATTTATTTATTTATGTATTTATTTATGTAGAGATAGGGGTCTCACTATGTTCCTCAGACTTGTCTTAAACTCCTGGCCTCAAGCGATCCACTGCCTCCACCTCTCAAAACAGAAGGATCATAAGCCTGGCCTAATGCATCTGACCAAAACTTATTTTTTTATTTTTTAAAAAAATTACTATGATTCTCCCATCTCCTTTTTTTTTTTCTAAACAAGGTTTCCATAGAATAAAATGCAAACAAACAAGAGTGGCCCTTGGATAAGGACAATCAGGGGCTCCCTTAATTCCCTGCTTGGCCCCCTCCCTCCAGCAGGTCTACAGGGCCATGAGAACCCCAGATGGGATTAACTATCTCAGGAGCACTTGGAGCTCAAGGGACAGGAGTCCCAGCTGTCTCTGTCTGGTCCTCTCATGGGCCACAGGAGCCTTGGCTGTGACAGGC